ATATATATATATATATATATATATATATATATATATATATATATAATAATAAAAAAAAAAAAAAAAAGTAGAACCAAAATCTGGTCTTATATTTTAGTTAATACAATGAGCATGATATATTAATAATAGGAACATAAAAGTCAGAAAATATGTATCATGTATATTAGATTAAATTTAGTGAAAAGATAAACAACCAGTAGCCAGTGAAGTTTTTAATTTACTTGAAGTTTCACCTTATGGCTTTTTTAAGAGGTTGCTGTGGTTGCTTGACCCATTCTAACAACAATAAGACTAGTTAATAATAGTATGTAAAAAGCAGACAATATTCTATAATTATCTTAATTTTTCTTGCTTTGAAGTATTTGATGAGAGCTGTTAAAAATTTAGCTACGCTTGTCAGTGTGTTTCCCTTGGGAACATAGTTTGAACTGGAAGCAAAATTGACAATTCTCTGTACAGAAAACAACATAATATGTTATGTCATTTGATAAATTTTTACTTTGGCTTTCTATTGGTTATAAATAAAAGCCAATGTGGTATTAAATATCAGAGAGAACGAAGTGGATGTAGCAAGAGGGGTCTGATTTTCTATTTTATGGTTCTGTGACCAAATAAGATTGAAGGCTATAAAAATTATGCTTTGCATGAGTAATAAGAATGTTATAATTAGTAATGTATGGTAAGTTCCATACTTCTAGGAAGGGTAGTAAAGATATTAGAGAAGAGAGGATACCAAGAGAGCATGTTACAATTCCCATACTATAAAGAGATTGAGGTTTTTTTACAAATATTTCCTTATAAATTTAAGAAGTTGAGGCATATAATATTAAAATTTGATATATTAACTATGTTTTTATGCAAAGTTTATTTGTATACCATGATAATAAAGTACTTTAATTAAATTTTCAATATAACTAAATATTTGTGACATGCACACTTTGACCTGCCCGTAGCTTTTATACCATATAATTAATCAATTTCTTTGTTCTTTAGATATGTTCAAAATTGTCTTTACAAATCTAAAATATATTACATACAGCTGATTACAGCAGCCTTGTAGGCATTTGAAACTCAGATTCACAAAGATTATAATTAGATTTTCCATTATATTGTGAAACTTTGTACATTTAAAACAAACTAAAGTATATATGGGTGAAAATGCATAAACTTGTTAGGAATGCCTCATTTCATGCACTTATGTGTCTGCCATATTCTCCTCATTAACATGGACAAGTAATTCTAGAAATGATTGAATGGTGTAAGAGAGAGAGCTTATGTGTATGGCCAGCCTAAGGAGAATTTTTATGAATGGTCGCAATACGGTTGACAAATGGTTGCACCTATAGCAGATTGTGTTGACCCTATCATGTCAAAATAATTGATTAGTTTAACTTGACAATTCACTGATAAGCAAATTCCACTAATTGTTCAGCTCTGTAGCATAAAATATTTATGGCATCTAGAGTATTGGGTTTGAGTAGTCTATTTCACTTCCATTATTTCCCAAACCAGGTTGATGAGAACGTCAAGTGTATGTTTAAATGTGCTTTATCTGAAGATTGCTTAAATTTTTGGTAATTAACCTCTTACATTACTTATCTCATCATCTATGGGCCATGAAGTAGTGTTTTATTTTTAACGAGGTAACAAGACTTTCCTGCATTTGTAGCAACTAATAATTTGGCTACTGCACGAAAAAATCATCTAGAGATTTTGAAAGGTCACTGAAAATACTTTTCACTAAGCATAATAAACCGAGAAATAAAAGCAGTGTTCAAGACTACATAGTGACTTTTCAAATACTGTTAACTCTCTCCACACAGGCTTGGTTGAATTGACCGACCTCATAACCACTTTGTACTTGTTATAGTTTCTGTACTATACCTTTTAATACAGTATGTGTATGCTCACAAAATTTGGCAGACTTTTTAGCAAACAGTACAAGTCTTTTGCACATGAAAAATCAGATTTTTTTTAATGAAAGATTTTTTACTTAAGATTTGTCCGTGAATATATCAAATCTTTTTTTACTAGTCCAAGTGCAAAGGTATTTTCATGTTAAATATATTTTTCTTTGTCTCAAAAATTTCAAATTATATTTGTGTAACCTCTAAAACCTGTTTTAGATATGTATTTAACTTTTTTTTTTTCTCAGTAAAACTGTTATATTTTATGTGTTATTACTTTTACCTCAAAGATGTACTTGATTCTTCAGCCTGTAGACAAACTATAAAGTATAATGTAAAGAAAAGTTGTAAAATCAGAAAGGAATGAGCAGCTGTGCCCTTTTTCCCTCCTTATTGGTCATGAAGTTTCAAGTACTTTTCTTGAGAGTTTGAACTGTTAAACATTTCACATTTATTTTTTGTTTATTTTACTGTTAATGACTAAAGTAGAAACCCACTGAAAATAAAGCAGTAAGTCACCGCTTGTGTCAGTAGACTGTTTACATGACACTGTAATATGATACCATCGAAAGCAACAAAGTATGCGCGAAGAGATAGCCAATTTCACCCCTGCTCAGAGAACAGGATGTCCAATGTATCGGACTGTGTATCATCACAATGTTTTCTTGGAAAATTCAGAGTAATCACACTGCACTTAGAATCAGTGAAAACATTTATGCTGACAATAGGATGTAGAATTTATCAGTTTATGTATGTATCCTACAGTGTTTAGAACAAGAATTCTCCAGAGCAATAAGACTGTACTTTGAATTTAGTATCTGGTTGGGTACCGATACAATAAACTGTACAATGTTTTCTT